GTTTATTATTATGTAGCTAACTATGAGAAACTTTAAAGAACCTAATACGGAAGTAACAACCTCCAGTTTATCTGCTGTAAAATGTCGTGATTCTACGGGTTTGTTGTTTTCTTGAACTAAATCGCATTTTCTTTGTCTGCAGGTTTATCTGGACAGAAATGGCAACCGCTGAAGTTATTCCAACTCAGGTGAGTTAATTTTTGGCCTCAGGTACTGTAGTTTTAAGTACATTTCGTGAAACTATGCTTTCAAATGTCTTATGTGGTTTACAATTTTAAAACCATGGGTTTACGCCGATAGCCCGTCACAAAATAGCACTCCGTAATGTTTAAACGAGTTCGGAGACTTATACGTTAACTGTTTTCTTTCTGTTGGCTTTACAGAGTGTGGTGGAGAGGGTCGCCAGCCTTCCTCTGGTCAGCTCCACCTATGGCTTGGTGTTCAGTGTGTACTCCAGCACAAAGGACAACCACCCGTACATCAAGACTGTGTGTGAGGCCGCGGAGCAAGGAGTCCGCACCATCACCTCAGTGGCTCTCACCACTGCTTCACCCATCATCGACAAGCTGGAGCCTCAGAGTAAGAGCCATTCATCCATTTGTAGGCGTGGTACTAGAGCTGGGAGGAGGTCAGAGTGAAACTGCAGGGATGATTAAACTGAGTCACGCTTTGAAACCGGAATAAAGTCAGGCTGTTGAGGCATTGCGACCTTTCACCCACTTATTATAATCAGGCAGAAATAAGCATCATAGCTTCTGATACGGTTTAGATTTTATACTTGTTTTACTTTTAAGGAACATTTACTTACTTTATTTCATCTTAAGCATTCTTTTGTTTTTTTCTTCTATAGTTGCCATGGCCAATGATCTTGCCTGTAAAGGTTTGGACAAGATTGAGAAAACCCTGCCGATTCTTCACCAGCCCTCTGAGCAGGTATGCATTGATTCATCAGCAAGCTCAATTTCACAATGTGAAATGTGCTAATCTCCTCGGTTATCAGCCGTGACCTTTGTCCCATTTTTCACAATTGCTGTTTCCTCACAAATGTTAAACTCATCCTTTGCTGCAATCACTAAAATAAAAATGCATGTGGACCTCCCCAGATTGTGTCCAATGCCAAGGATGTAGTAACCACTGCTAAAGATGTCGTGACGGGCACAGTGTCCGGTGCCAAGGGCACGGTCTCAGACACTCTGACCAGCGTTGTGGAGAAAACCAGGGGCGCGGTGCACGGTGGGGTGGACAAGACCAAAGCTGTTGTCAACGGCAGCGTGAGCACTGTACTGGAGAGCAGAGTGGCGCGTCTCATCAGCAGCGGAGTCGACACAGCCCTGAGTACATCTGAGAGTCTGGTGGAGCAGTATTTACCTATGACTGAGGCTGAGCTGGGTGAGTGGAATCAAAAGACAAAGAAAAAATGCCTCTCTAGATTTTTCTTTAAATATTTAAGGAAATACTTCTAATGATTTGCTTTTTACATATAATTTAAAATGTGGATTTGTCTCCAGTTTGTTTTTCAGATAAACAGAATACAAATAAAAGCTAACAAGATTAAATGTGTGTGTGTGAGACAAAGTTCAGTTAGTGGTCCGGTTTCCAGAAAAGCTGACTGGATCAGATTATGTGTGTAAATTTGCATTGGCGCCCTCTTTGGGTGACTACATATTAAAAGAGCTGATCAGGCTGAGCTGTGGTGTTTTGAGGCTTATGGAACAGTCTTGATACTATGATTCTTTCAACTGATCTCTTATGGTTGTGAACAAGTACAACTAATGTTTTTACACTTGTCCACACTTTAGGTTTTAAGAAAAGCAAGACAACTTTATATAGTTTGTTGTTTGACTGGGATTTTCCATGTTTCCCTGCCTTATAACAGAGCTGGAGGCAAAAACTGTGAAAAGCTTTGACAACAAGGAGCCGAGCTACTATGTCCGCTTGGGCTCTCTCTCCACCAAGCTCCGCAAGAGAGCGTACAGCAGAGCCGTGGTCCAGATACGAGATCGCAAGCAGCGCTGCATGGAGTTCATTTCTGAGCTGAACTCCACTGTTGACCTGGTGGGCCTCCTCCACACACACACACACTAACATAATGAGCAAGGAACAAGATTCACAGGAAGGGACTTCTTTTTTTTTTTTTTTGGAGGAGAGGTTATAACATTTACTCTTTTATTCCTGGATATCAAAGAAATGTTCATTATACAAACAACCAGTATGTTTTAAAGTCATATATACAGTATTTAGACCATTTTTGAATATTTAACCCTTAAAAAGCGATGACACAACACATTCACTGACATCAGTAAACGCCACACTGTTGGCCAGCATCAGTCATCATGCCAATATTGGTTCATTTTATTATCCAGATGATAGAGCCATTCTGTCCTTTCACTGCTTTTGGACTTAAAAAAAAATAAACGTTTCCTGTGTTTTTCTTCAGATTGAGGTTGGCAGAAAGAACATTGACAGTGCTAACCAGATGGTGAACAAGAAGTTGAATTCCCTGGTTGCATGGAAGTCCAGTGGTCCAAACCAGGAGAACGGTCATGAGGCAGAGGTAAAGATTTACATTGAGATAAAATATTATCCATAAGATTCACTTATGGTAGAGTACACAGCACTTATCTTATTGAATTAAAGTGGGAAAATAATGCAAACTTATTCAGATTTGTTCCTCTCCATCTATGCAGGTAATTGAGTCCCGCACTTTGACCCTAGCGCGTTCCCTCACCCAGCAGCTTCAGACCACCTGCCTTGTCCTCGTCTCCAGCCTGCAGGGTCTCCCCAACCACATCCAGCAGGAGGCGCTGTCCCTCGGCTACTCTGCCTCACAGGTGTACACAAACTTCAGCAAAGCTAACACGTTGGGAGACCTGCCAGACACAGTGTTGACCAGCAGCAGAGTTCAGCTGAGCAAAATGAAAGAGTCCCTGGACAACGTCATGGATTATCTGATCAACAACACGCCACTCAACTGGCTGGTGGGACCTTTCTATCCACGGATGGCTCCCGAGCCCACTCCCATACCGGCATCTGAAGACAGCAGCACCTACACCACATCCTCCAGCTCTTCTACACAGGGACAGAGGGAGGAGCCCATGGAGGTGGAGATGGCATCCCTGTAGTGATCCATTACAATTTAAAGCTTAATATTCTGAATTTTGTGGCAATATTTGACATCTTTGTATGCAAACTTTTACTTTACATATTTTAAAATCTCAAATGTATTAGCACAGAACCTGAAATATGTAATTCCACAGTACCAAGAAAGTACATTTTATTAACTTTAGAATCTTGAACTACAAAACTATTGCGCAATTTCATTCTCCACAATTATCATACAAATCATTTATCTGGAAAAATAAACCTGTGCTTGCTTCAGTATAAATGTGTGAAATCTGTTCAGAGTTTGCATCAGGTTAATGTTGAAAGTTCTTGGGGACTAATACTTGCTTTTAGTTTTACTATCATGAATGTGTGTAAGCCATTACCAAGGCATGGGGTAGCCCATACTACCTTTAGTTTAACCTGCACACTGATGGCATTTAAAGACATTCCTAAATAGGTTAATTACCCAATAACACTGGTCCCCATTTGGTTTCTATTACACAACATTTACTCCACGTGGTACATTTAAGGAAAAACAAACTAACACCTCAATTGCACATTTGAAATACCATCTTACAAATAATTTGGCACTTAGTCATGAATTAACACTTAAAATCTTTATTATTAGTGTTAAAACTCACAAATGCATTGTAAATACACTGCACAGCTGAACACGTATAATAGAAACGTCTTGAAGTTAAATGTGTTTCTGAGCTCCATCTGGACAGACATCCTGGACACGGGGATAGTTGGGTTTCTTCAGTCATCCGTCACAGCCACTCCGCTGTGACAGATAATCTATCAGACTCTGAAAAGTGACATAACAGTTTCAAATGGAGTTTCTATGTACAGTTTGTAATGAAGTGAGCCTTCTCCTACCGAGAGCTTCTTAATCTGGCACCGCGCCACGTCATCCAGCATGTCCCAGTTAATGTCATCTTTAGTCTCTTCAGAAAAGCTCACCATCTACGAAGAGAAACACTTGACTTGTAAAAAACATCAACAATGTCTAGAATCTGTTAAACCGCAGGACCTCAGGTCACATAAGGAACACTTGATTCAAAAATCTGACTCCATACACTGAACTCAAGAACAAGGACAAACTCCTTAGTTTTAGGCCAAGTTTGACTCTTAAAGGCAGCACAAAGAAAAATGTAGAGAAAGAAAAAATAAAGTACCAGTCCCTGTGCTGTGGTTACAGTGATATGTGCAGTAGAGCCTGCTGTAGAACAGTGCAGATCACCAGCAGAGACCACAGACCTGCAGGTCAACACAGAACTCACATCAGTGCATTTTAATGAGAGCTGACAGTATTTGTACTCACCAACTATTTAAAAACAACGTAGGAGCTAAACTTCACAGTTTAGAGCATTAAAAAATAAAATAAATAGTTTTAGCCAGAAACAAAACATATGCAGTACATGTTTCTGATTGAACAAAGGCGTCAAACAGACCTGAGTTTGAGTCTGGACTGGCTCAGCGGGGACGGGTCGTTGGTCTTGCAACTTGCCAAGCGGCGAGTTCTCTTGGTTATGACTGAGGAGGATGTGCTGCAATTAGAGTGCTGGTGTTACAGCTGAACGGCCTTTCATTTTACCTGGTTGTTTGCATACTCCACTCCCTGTGTAGAGCAAGTGGTTTTTTCCATGCCAACTAAAAAGCAGCAATGGCCAACCCCACGTTTACAAGTGCTTAGCGAGGGTTTTATGACCTGCTCAGACTGACGCTGGTGACCAACAAAAATTCAGTCAGGGGTTCTCTTGGGCGTCTTGGTATGTTACCAAGGTGGTACCATCAAAGAGTCAATATATCCTACTATATGTAATTTTCCTCTGATGATCTAAACTCTGTTCATAAGCTAATGAGCTCCATTGATGTCATTACCTCCTGGGTATCTAGAAATCTTTGAGAATTCTTGGCAGGTGGAAGCAATGACAAACATACCAGTTAAGAAGAAAACCAGTTCAACTAACACTGGATAAGGCCTTGATCGAGTTCAGAGCAGTAAATAACCATGCACTATGTGACTTTGAGCCTAATCCTTACATGAGATTTCCAGTGCTGTTACTACAAACTAATGTCCTCGTCCTTTTAGTCTCCTTCACTCCCTAAACACAAAGACACAAAACAAGACAGAAAATAAAGAAATGTAAACGATTGCTTTTATTCCCCAGAGATTGTGTTTTTTTAAATGAGGACTGGAAAGTTTAAAATCACAGTGACAGCCATGCCTGTGCAAATACACCTGCTGCATCACCTACCTTTGACGTTTTGGATGAGACCCTGTGGGTTGGGGCAGACTGGTCTGGTGAATCAGTGGATTTAGCTGCAAAAATACAAGTATAAATAATGGCAGCTAAACAAACTCAAAATAACTTGGAGAAATTGAGGTTTGTGTCTTTAACTATGACAAGATCAATTGTTAACCTCACTGGACAAAATGGAAAAATGTAGCTTGATTTCACCTCTTTTACTGGTTATCTTTTTGCGGGGCTGGGGTACCTCACCAAACTCATTCTGCAAAAGGTCCAAGTATAACATATGATTAATAAAAAAATAAAAATAGACAGCAGATTATAACCAGAAACCCAACTCACCTTACTGGCTATTGATTCCTCACTGGCTAAGAATTCCTCCTCTACAAGAGAAAACAGTCGGTAGCTGTTGTTCATGTAAGACGCTCCAAATCACAAAAATCACGGAGGACTCACCGCTGATTAAATCCCCTATGAGGGTGTTTTGAAGAGAAGGAGGCATCTTCATCAGCTCCACTTTGAATACTTTTTCCACTGTGGCCAGCGTGTTCTCCATTTTGGCCTCCAGCTCGTTCACGCGCTCTTGGGCTGTAAGGAAAGATGGATGGACGTCAGAAATGAAGTATGAAGCTTTACGTGTGTGCGGCTGCAGTGAGGCTGCTCCTCACCTTCTTTCTCAAACTGTTGGATGAATAGAGCCAGCTTGCTGCGCCGCATTTCCCGGCTCAGCTCTTCTTTAGTCTGCACGCTTCTTGTGTTTTTCGTCCGCCGCGACGCCATCTCTCCACGCTGCTTTGGTGGACTTTAGTTTGTGCATAAATAACTCCTGTTCTCCACAGCCGCACACCTGACACCGCAGCACTTTTAATGAAGATATCCATGCGCGCAGCGGGGTGGAATGTGGTTATTCTAGAGCTGACCGTGTTGCTTGGCCTCGACTTCACTGTGATGAGCCACAAAACTTGAACTAATGTTAAAGCAGCTAAATGCACTCAGAATTTGCAACTTTTTTGTAGACTGGGGTGACCTTTATGAATCTGAAATGTTCCATGTGTATTTCTATGTTATGTATAATCCGGGTTATACATAACTTTCCATATACATGCCTTACTCTTCAATATTGTACAGGCAATTTGTCTTCGAGAAAAACAGTCTTGATCCATCTGGGGATTCCATTGGCCCTGAATAACTGCAGCAGGGCTGTGAGTGGGCAGGTTTGTTTGCTAAATTGTCAGAATCAGAGACTTTGTCAATTGAGTTGTCATAGCAGTTATTGACTTAAGTTGTTTCTATGTATTACTGTGAAGCACTTTGGTGCGCCTTCGGGTTTTTAAACGTGCTATATAAATAAAACTCATTTATATTGTATTGTATTGTATCAACAACCAGGCTAACAGGTTGTCTATTATGAGCCTGCAGAGGCCCTGAGAAGCTATGTTGGTAGCACTGTTACAGCCACGGTGTAGGACCGAGGTCTATTCCAGGACCTCCATCAGCAGCCAACTGTTTTATTTGAACGCAATTTGTTTATCTGTTTCTATTTTTTCTAATATATTTCTAATTCACTTTTCCTCGCTGACCCTTTTGCAGCTGCAACATGTCAGGTTCCACAGTGGGTGATTTTATGTCTGTGACTGTGAGTCAACAGGTCTGAAGTAAACAAGGCTTTGCAGCTTTTTAGAAGTCTGTTCATCTTGGTACATTATAAAGTTTTGTGCATTTTGTATATATTTTGCCACTAACACTGCAAACTTGAAAGGAACCAACACTAATCAGAATACACAAAATGTAGGAGTAATTCATTAATTAATTTAGGATTTCTCCCTTTTTAATAAAAACCCCCCAACACATTACCTAAAAATAAGACATTCAATAACAGAATAACAACAGAAGAGGAATATTGCAAACTATTTTACTTTTTTTTTTTGTTGTTGTTTTTTGCTTTTAACAAATAAGTCAAATAGTTTTAAACAGGCGACTTAGTTTGAGGTTAGCGCTATGAGTTTTCCCTACATATCGATCCTGCTCTTTTCTTTCACAATAAATAGATAAAATAAACAATAAATCATATTTAGACCCGCTACAGTGCAGAAGCTTGTGAAATTTTCTGACAACATTTAAACACAGTGACTGCAAACTCGCTGTTTTTGAACATAGAGAGGAAAACAAATGTGAAAAACCCTGCCTGCACCCTTCTTTGCTTCTTGCCTTTTCTTTCCAAGCTCCTTAGACTTTGCTTCAAACACACACAGGCAGAGAGAGAGAGACTGGCTATCCACCCTGAGAGTGGTCAGTCCTTTCAGTCAGAAGAAATGTGCACTGAGGGGGCTGAACAAACATTTCAACTCCTAAAACTCTGGAAATTACTGCACTGTCTTATGTCCGGTGTGTGGTGACTGCTGGTTTTATCAGGCATCGGCACAGAAACAAAAAGAAGTCTGTTTCTGTCAAGCTACTGGACTTATTTTTCTACAAAGACTTGAAGTTTGAGAGTGTTTAAACAAGAGAGAGAAGTGTGAAAATGTTCATGCCTGTCTGAGAAAAGTGTATGTAGTGTGTAGTGAGGGGTTTAAAGCCTTAAAACATCTATAATAATTGTAAAAAAAAATAAATAAATAAAGCTGGCTACTTTGCAGATTTCACCTATCGC